CCCACCCCCCCCCCCCCCCCTCGGCTCGGACATCCTTTGTGAATGGCCCCTTATGTATCGTACTTATTTTTATTCCAATTTACATTTTAGGTCTGTACGAGCTGTGGAAGACAGGCAGATATAAAAGTTATCCTCCCGATGTGTTGATCGATCTGGTTGCTAGGATACTGGCTCTAGTACCACCTTGGACGAGAATTTACAGAGTTCAAAGGTAACATTGCGGACGCACTGTATGGTATCCAGGATAGAGTGGGTTTTTGTTTCACCTCTATATATAGAGAGAATACAGTAGACATAAAGATTAGGTTCAGTTTAGGTTTCCTGTCTCACTAGAATAGTTAAAAACTAAAAGAGATGACCAGTACACAGTAAATAGAAGTTTAATTTCGATCTCTTTTTGAAAAGATAAATTATTTTCATGAAAGCTTGGTAAAATTGTAAGACAAACATGACTTTACATAATTCTAGAGATATTCCCATGCCGTTGGTGACTTCTGGTGTAGAACATGGTAATCTCAGGGAACTGGCTCTGGCAAGAATGAAAGATCTGGGAACCACGGTAAGTGAACATACATACAGTACATGTACTGTATACATTCTTCATATGAAGACAGGCTAAGCCTTTCCTGTCCGTATGTGTTTTCTCTGTTACCAATTTACATTTCTGCGCAGCCCAATTGGTATCCAAGTGTACAATAATAAATTAGAAATTTTGTTTAGTGTCGAGATGTGAGGACGAGAGAAGTTGGAATACAGGAGATTCATCATAAAGTCAAACCATATGAGGTCGAGTTAATTCGTCGTGATTATGTTGCTAATGGAGGCTGGGAAACCTTTCTTTCTTATGAAGATCCAACACAAGATATCCTTTACATCAACTACGATAACAGCGACAACGACAACAACAATAACAACACCAGCAACAACAACAACAACAGTAACAACAACAACAACAGCAACAACAACAACAACAGCAACAACAACAACAACAACAACAACAACTGCAACAACAACAACAACAACAACAACAACAACAACAACAACAACAACAACAACAACAACAACAACAACAACAACAACAACAACAACAACAACACAACAACAGCAGCAACAGCAGCAACAACAACAGCAACAATAACAACAACAGCAATAACAACAACAGCAATAACAACACTGTACTTGAAAATGAGTATTTTTACGTTACCGTCTCTTAACTGTTGTAAGATATCCTTATTGGTCTTCTTCGTCTTCGTCAGTGCGCAGGAGATACATATCGTCCTGAACTGTTGGGGAAATGTTCTATAGTTCGTGAACTACACGTGTATCCTTTTGCCTGAAGATAATAGTTTTATGGAAAACATCACATCTATTGAGACCAGGGAAAAAGTGAAATCTTATCATAGAATACTTAATAGGGCTTAATATTAATTAGGAAGAATTTATTCTCAAGAACTCATCAGGATGAAATTCTGAATTCCGCTCTACGTGACACGTCCTTAACATGAAGAACAGTTATGGCAGTGTTGTTCCTGTCAGTTCTCGTGATCCAACAAAGTTTCAACATCAGGTAATTGTATTTTAAAATAATCGCTTCATTAATATGACAGCAAAATATGTGTAGCTGATGTACCCAGGTTTTCTACTCAAAGAGCGAAAATATGGACGCCTTTGGACGCCCAAATTCTGGGGGAAAAGGGAAATTATTTTCAATTATTTCCGTAAGTTTATTAATATGTCTGAAACGAAATAGCTTCAGTTCTCATTATTATTATACATTTGACATTTTGATCAATTTGATGTCATAATTAAGTAAAGAAACATAGCGGCACACTCACAAAGCCAAGTGTGTTTGAAACATTTCGAACGAGCTTGGAACAGATACCGACATGAAGTAACGTAAACTTCAAAGGTTTTCCAGAGGAACGTTTTCTCGACCCCCCCCCCCCCCTCCCCCCCCCCTTTACTGTGGATGTATTGTTATATCAAAATTGGACGCCCTCTTTTAGGACCCTGGCTAAAAGCCTGGGGGCGTGCACATTCTCTGCCTTAGGTCGACTTCAGTTTTATGTTGTATCATATATAGTTATTACATACATTGTAATTATAATAAGTTATTGTTTACACAGGGTTTTGGTGTGCTTCTCATGGAAGAAGCAGAAAGGATTGCGAGAGATGAACATGGCAGTGAGAGAATTGCAGTCATCTCAGGTAAACAAACCCTGCTGTATAGAGGTGGTGATCCCTTAAAATATCCACTCTGAGCCTTTCTCCTAGACAATGTTGTTGAGTGAGGGGGGGGGGGGGTAAATT